TCCTGCGCCGCTCTCCGAGTCCGGCGGGGAGGAGGGCGCGTGCCACCTACCTGTCTCCCGCTCCCCTGGCTTTCGCCGACGCTCCTCCGCTCCACTTCGGCCCGGCCTAAGCGGAAAGGAGCTGCCTGGGACTTTGCATAGTTACGGTTCCCTTTCTGTCATTTCCTTCTCTCTAGCCAGCGGGGAAACTGAGGTTCCCCAGGGAGAAGCGACTAACTTGCCCAGTATCACACTGCTGGGGTGGGGGTAGAGCGACACAGAGGCGCTCGACAAGAGGGTTGGAGAAAATGATTAATCTTGTCCCTTATAATGTGGTTTTGATTAGGCAGATCAGAGTGAGCTGGGGTGCAGGGATTCGGGGAAATGTTCTTGTTCCCAAACTACTCTGACGTTACTTTAAATATATAAAAATATATATATAATATGTATGTATAACTTTTTTCAACAATGAACAAAGAAAATGCCTTCGGCAAAGCTCCACTAGGGAAAGTGTTCCTGCTCAAATAGTCCCTAAAAGATTTAAACTAAGGAAGGCGGGTCAGGAACCTGGGATCCTGCATTCCAGGGTTCAGCGTTGGTGGCGGTGGGGTGTCGGGGTGACCGCACCGCTAACAGCGCCCCCTAGAGGCCACCAGGCACTTTTTTTCAGGTTGGCTCAAGACAGCTTCTTCGTGGGTTTCATTATTACACAAATACCCACTGATTGAACGCCGACTACACGCTGGCCTCGGGGGCTCCAGCGGACAGAAGCCGGACCCACTGCCTGGTCCTCATCATCTCCAAAGGCTACGCTGGGAATCCAGTTCCGCGGGGCTCTAGCCGGCTTCCCAGGGCCTGCGCCCCCACACTTGGGACCCTCCTGTACGAATCCTCTCCCTGAGCCCCCTGGGCCTCTGCCCCCTGGGCCGCGGAGCCCACAGCTGCGGAGATGCCAATGTGCGAGATACACAAACATAAACATTGCGCCACCGGGCTGGGGTGCAGAGTCAGGAACATTCTGTGGTTTCTTCCCCCCTCCTGGGGGAGGGGTTTTCCTGGCCAGCCTATGTTCTTGCTGTGGATTGTATCACCAGAGGCAACTTCTGCTTTTGCCTCCTTTACCACGTATGTTCTCACATTCGAGAACTTTCCCCCTGGATCCTTCTAGAAACTCAGGGCACTGAGTGCTTTTTTTTAAAGGGCGTTTTCTACCTTCCTTTGAACATTGGTCGATGACAACAAAGTCCTCAGATAAGAGCAACACCCTCCCTATAGCTCAGAGAGAGAAAGAAGAAAAATATTATTTGTTTATTCTACTTATTCAGCAGAGGACCTCGACATATTTTGGGGATTGAATCATAGAATGTTACAGCTGCTGTCTTTCCACTGCATACCAACTTGATTTGTCCAATTTTTTTTTTTAAGCAAGAGCTTCTGTAACACCTTCCCCTACCCAAATTTTTCGAAAGAAAACATTTTCATACAAATCGAAGTTGGCACAGTCTAGCGCTGGATATGGGTGTCTGCGGGCCTCCTGCTTTTCCTCCGTCTCTTGCTGGAAAGACTCAAAGACCAGGCTCAAACCCATGCTGTCATTTCCCATCTGGGTGACCCTGGGCGATTCTGTCACTCTGTTGAGCCTCCACGCTGCCATCTGTACAATGGGTATATAACAGCTTACTTTGTGAGAAACGGTAGGTATAAGGAATCAAGTCCTATCCCACCCCTTCTTGTCATGATTCATTGAATTTCCTGGGTTTTCACTTCCCAGAAAGCAGTTCTGATGTCATCCCGCCACTTTGTGTTCTAGGGTCTGGCACCAGAACTGCACAGCAGAGGCTTAGAAAAGATATACAGTGATGTGGGTAGGCAGGGGCCCTGCTCAGAAGAACTCCCTCCTTGGTGCAGGCTGGCTTGTCAGGGCTGAGGTCAGTAGGCCACCTGCCCAGAGACTAGAGATAAAAGTGTAGCCAGTCAGGCCCCAGTCCCAGCATGGGGGGCTGCTTCTGAACAGGGACAGAGGCAATAAGAAATGGAATAATCTGGCCTCTGGTGAGTGTGCAAAGAATGCCAGGCTGGTGCTGTGGGCCTGGCTGGTGGAGGGGCTGGAGCATGATGATTCAGATGAGTTGACTCAGGGCCTTTCTGACCCAAGCTCTTCCTGATTCTTTCTTTCTTTTTTTTTTTTTTTTTTTTTTTTTTTTTACATGGGTTTTTTTTTTTTTTTTTTTTTTTTTTTTTTTTTTTTTTTTTTTAACCAGGGTCTCTGTGTAGTTCAGGCTGGCCTTCAACTCAAAGCAGTCCTCCTGCCTCAGCCTCTTGAGCGCTGGGATTATAGGTGTATGCCACCACAACCGGCTCTTTCTGTTTTAGAGCAGTTTAGGAATAAACCTGAAAAGCAGTGTGGGAACATGAGCAGGAACAGCCAAAGGCCTGGCTTGGACTCACCACCTTCGCCCTGTGGCCTTGAGTAAGTCACTTCAGCTTGCTGTGACAGATGGAGAGAATAGTGACATTTACTTCAAGAGGCTGCGAGAGAGACACTAGCCTACAAGCCCTGACCTAATGCTGCCCTCCAAATTGACTGTTTTTTGTTTGTTTTTGTTTGTTTGTTTTTTTCAGACAGGGTCTCACTATGTAGTTGAGATTGACCTGGAACTCACTACGTAGCCCAGGCTGGTCTGGAACTCACAGCAGTCCTCCTGCCTCAGCCTCCTGAGTGCTGGGATTACAGGCATGCACCACCACGCCCGGCCTCCAAGTTGACTTTGAATCACAGGGAATGAAAGGTAGAGCTTCTACTAGTGATAATCGCACATGGCCATAGCACACAGTCTGTGACCTTGGGCAAGCAGCCTAGTATTTCTGAGCCTCAGTTTCCCCATTTGTAAACTGGAAATTAATATCCATCTATGACTAAGTAAAACTGAGAAGAGGCCTGATGTGTCCCTCGGTCACACCTTGTCTTGCAGAACCCACAGCTTGTTTACCATCTCTCCTGTGTTGGGTGGTGATTCCTCTTCTTGCTCAGTAACCTTCTATGACTCCCTATGTCCCACCAAAGCTGCCACTCCAGGGCTCCCTTGGCTGTCTGGATCAGTCTTTCCTTCTCTGGGAGTTTCCTGTGTGTTCCTCACCAGGCCTGTTTTCCTTGACAGTTCCTCTTTGCTCATGCTGTTCCACCTCTCCCTGCCAGAAAGCCAGCTATTCTAGGCCCCGCTGCTCTCTTTTCCCGTCCTCTAAGACCCAGCACAAATGCTGTCTGTGTGAAGACTCTTGGTTTCTCTAGCCTCTCCCTCTTCTGGGCTCTGGAGGACCTGGTGGCGTATTCTGATCATGTGAAAGTCACTCAGATCTTTATCGTACTGTCCCTGGATTGCCAGCTTGTCAGCAAGGCAGGGACTGTGTTTTTCTCCTCGTCGGACTCTGCACTGGGGTGCCTTTGGTGCAGTGCCTGGCCCATAGTAGGCCCACCATCTGTGAAGTGGCAGAATTCTTTTAAACACACTGGTGGAAAGTGACACTAGAGAAGCGTAGATAGGGACACGTACTGAGGCTCTGCATGCCAGGTGTGCCACAGGGATTCTTTCATGAACTCATCAGTGATCCCGAGCAAGGAGACAGGCTCTGAGAGGAAATAGCCCAACGTCAGAGCAGATCCGGATAGTGAGTGTCAGAGGCAGACCCAGACCCAGAGCCTGTTCAACTTGAGAGATGGAGCCGGGCCCAGGCAGTGGCCATGTAAACCCTGCTCTGTGGGAGCCTCAGCTTCTGCGAGCCCCATGCCAGGCAGCACTAGCTGAGGCCTCTACCTCCCAGATGGCCTGGAGCTCTCCTTGCTGCAAAGGGGTCCCTGGCACCAGCCCTGGAGCCCGTGGAGCCTCTAGGAGCATCAAGTTAGGCCCAAGTGTCCCTGCCACCTCTCCGCAGGCATTCAGTGTTGAGCGACAGGCAGACTCAGTAGTCACTTTGGGCCCGTCCTGAGGGGCTGGCAAGAGGTGACTTCAACCTCCACTCCCAGGCATTAGGACAGAGCCAGTTGCTGTTGCCCAATCCTTGCAAACAGATTTTCACAGTCAGGCCTGAGAGAGGCTGTGGAGCTATGTTTTCTCACCCAGCCTCGTCTTTGGAGAGATGAGGGCCCAGAAAGGTTAAGCAACTTGTCCAAGGTCTCACAGTGTTCAGAACATTCTAGTTTTGGTCATGTGGTGTGAGCTGTGTATACAAACACTTATCATGGTTTATCTCTGGAGAGTGAAGCTGCTTTTATTATAGACATCTAAGTTAGATAGAAATTAAAACGCACTCAGAGAGGGACTGGGCCCCAAAGGAATCAATGCAAAAGACGAAACACATCAAAACTGAGGCTGGAGATACACCGGGAGAGAGACAGCAGTTTGCGCTCGTACTGTAATCAGCACCCGCTGGCCGGTGAGCCTACATGAGGCATCAGATGCATGAATGGGTTTCTTTTTCTTTTCTT